GGGGCTGGCTGGCATGTGGTGCTGGGGGATTGAACTGCGGTCCCTGATCCTTTGCTAAGCTTGTTCTAAGTAGGTGCTTTTAGACCACTGAGCCATCTCTCCAGCCCCCCCAACATGCATTTTTATAAAGTAATATTTTCCCAAAACAAAATGACATCATTTTACTCTTTTTTTTTTTCCCCAAAAATCTGGCTTAATAAGCCATTTAGATCTCTTTAGAACCATCTTAGGACAATGTTATGCTTTTAGAAAACTGAAATTTTCTAAAAATCCTAATTTTTTGTTTCAAAACATTAATGGCAATAAATTATGTAAGTAGTCTTCATTTGAATTAGGGGCTTGGTTCTCAATTGAGAAAATGGCTTACCTAATACTATCTAGAGTTACCATTACTTGTAAACCTGACAAATTATGGTAACTTGGGCTTCAGCATAAAAATGTCCCAACAAAAAGTTATCTGATTTAGCCTATAACTCATACACAAAAGTCTGTGGCAGCTTTTTTTTTTTTTTTTTTTGAGATAAGGTCTTGCTACATACAGGCTGGGTTTGAACTCGCTATACAACCCAAGCTGACCAATTCTGTGTTCCTCCTGCCTCAGCCTCCCAAATGCTAAGACTACAGGTGTGTGCCACAATACCTGGCTAACTTTTGAACCTAGGTATACAGCAGAAGTGCTATATGTGTACCTCTCACCCTTCCTCTGAGAATATTAAACATATTAAAAATATTAAGTGAAGGGCTGAGCTTTAGTAAAAATAGCAATCTTTACCACTTCAAAGCTGTTAAGTAAAACACTTAAAAGTACATATGTGTGCGTATGATGGTAAAGAATACAGTGACAGTGAGTAGTTTGGTGGCCCTGTCTTGACTCACACTAAGGCACCAGTAATTTTACCCATCATTTCTAACACACCTTCAGGCAAAGAACATAGTAAAAAGATTAGTAAAGTAATGTTAACAGTTTTTTGGAAGCGCACAGCCTCATGTTTCCTTAGTCTGGAGAGTGCAGAGAGCTTACCTCGTGTGACAAGGCCCAGGAAACAGGAAGAGAGAAGAATGAAGGAGTGAAGAGAGATTACTGTGGGCCAAGGGTCAGTGAAGACCCTTTGGAAGAGCCCATGCTTGAGCTGGCCTTCAAGAGAGAGGCTTTGGACCAACTAACAGGAGCCAGGAGCCCAGTCTGGGTGGGGAGGAGCACAGTGTTGGCCCTGAGCAAGGCAGGGACGCAGGGGTGACAGTGATGAAAAGTCACTGACCTCCGGTGAGCGCGACTGCCAATCAGCTGCTAGACAAGTTCTCTGTCTACTTGGCCTGTTTAGTTTTCATCCATTCAATCACGTAGGTGCTATTTTTTTACCCAGTGACCTTTAGAGAAAGTTTTTGTCCATAGCCACACAGCTAGTAAGGGCAAACTCAGGATCTGAACCTGTATCTATGGGACGCCTAAAACTATCACTCAGCTCACATCTGGTGACACATGGCAGCTTGGACTCAGGAGAAGTGGGCTATGGTGCTGGCGAGGAGGGCTTAGCAGATTAGAAGGCCTCTGATGAGCCAGTCAGTGGGGTTTTACCACCTGGGTAGAGTCTGATCTCAGTCGCTCTTTCCAAAGGTTGGTGCATCCTTTTGCAATCCCAGAGGTCTTCAGTCTGCCCATGGATCAAGGAGATGTGCAGTATCTAAAGTGGCTTGAGGAGAGCATGGAGGACCAAGCGGGTGAATCTTCCTGTGCATCTTGCTGACCACCTCTGTCCTGCACAGCTGCATTCTGGGAAGTGATCTACTTCTGCTGCACAGCTGCATTCTGGGAAGAGTGATCTACTTCTGCCTCCCAGGATCTGTGGCTTCCTTGTCCCTGTTAGCACAGAGCAGCAACGAACCTGTGTTGGCTGAGAGTCTTTGGTTCCTGAGGCTGGAAGAGAAGGTCAGGCCAGAAAGAACCCAGTGGGACTTGTCTCAGAGTGCTGCTTGTTTCAAGGTGGCCAGAGGCGGGAGTGCGAGGATGGTTGTACAGACTGCAGGAGTTGGGAGTGAGGGTGAAGTTTGTCATCTTTAGTCCCAAGACTCTCAGATACCTAGGGAGAAGCTGTTCCCCTGCTTCTGATGGGCAGGAACGGATCCAATGACCTTGTTTACTTGGAAGTGGTTGGGATGCCACCTCAAGGGACTAACAAGTGCTGTATTTAAAAGGATTGATTGTAATGGTGGAATTTCAGAGATCAGCAGGATTATTTCTTCTAAAGAGGCTTTTGTTGCTCCAGAGCCTTGAGGAGGTGGCACTGGAGATTAGGGCTTCAGCATGGTCTCATGGGCTGGCACTGTCTTGGTTGTTTCTTAGTCTGATGTGACAGACTTCAGGAGGTTCTGGTGCCCTGCTCAGAAATAGCCCCGGGAACCTGCTAGGCTTATGTTTTGCACATTTGCCTTACAGAGCCCTGGAGCTTGGCAGAAACTCCCAGGGGCTGCTGGGGTGAGGGCTAGAGGCTTCCACCTATATCCTTTTTTTTTTTCCCCATCTATACCCTTTCAGTGCACTGTGTCTTGGCTCATTAGCCCTTGAGCTCCCTTGTAAAATTTGGGTTTTGTTTTTGAAGGTTTTCTTTGTCAAAGGCTAGTAAGCCACTGCTCTAAGATAGTCTCCATTTTATTATTAAAGAAAACTGCACTGTATAGATGCCCAGGAAGGGAATGGCGTGTTGTTACACCTGGCACTTTTGTGTCAGCGCGTGCTGTGTCAGTTCCAAGGTGGAGGAGCACAGGGAAGGCAGGAAATGCTGAGTCCTACTAGTGAAAAGAGAAACTTGACCCAGGCCCTGTCCATGAACCTGTCACAAAGTGAGTCCATTTGGTGGAGACCATAGGCGGTTGGGGCTGGGATCCATAGCTAGCTGTGGTTTGTGGGTCTCTCAGAGGGGCAGAGTGCAAGGGAAGCATCTGACCCCTGCTCTGCACCCCTCACCTTAGTCCTCCCAAGTAGGAGATGGGGGCGATGACCCACCTATGGAAACCTGGTAGGAACTGTGAGCAGAGGTCCTGCCAAGGTCCAGAGGACACCAGTGAGGACTTGGGGAGCTGCCTGTGGAGAGGGCAAGAGCAGGTAATGGGGATGTCCCATATTTTTATAATAGATCAGTTTCTGACACATGCAAATCTTGTACAAAGTAAACACTAAAATGTATCATAGTCTCTTGTTGATTGCATATATTACTTTTATGATAAAGTCCAATTTCTAAGTCTAGTTTTCAAGGCCCTTTTTAAAAATGTTTTTATTTTATTTTTTAGATAAGGGTCCCACTATGTAGTTTGGACTTATAGTGATCCTCCCCAGTGCTGGGATTACAGGTGTGCGGCACCACACCCAGGGCTTCAGGGCCAGCACAGCATGTGGTACCAGGGATTGAACTTGGGACCTTGTGCTTGCCAGACAGGTACTTAGACCACCAAGCTATCTCCCCAGCCCCTTCAAGGCTCTTTAGAACCTTGCCTTAGTTTACTTCTTCTATCATCTCAGACAAATGGTTCCCCTGCATCATGTGTTGTTATTCCTGTGTTCATGTGGTCCCCTCTGCCTGGATGGAATACCCTTCTATGTGAGCACCTGTGACATGCTCCTATCCAAGGCTTGGCTCCCTGGCTACAAGGACTATCTTCTGCCCTGGTGTTCCTTTCATCTTTGTGCATTACTTTGTTGGCCTTGTGCTGCTAAGTGGTGACCTGCTCAAGGTCAGGGGCATGTCACAATCTGTTTACTGCGGTACAGAATTTGGCAGCTATCTTCCCAATTGACGTTTTAAGGATTTAAATGACAAAAGCTTTCTCTACAGTACACAGTTTAAGTTGTAGAATTGGCAAAATAACTTTTTTCTTGAATTTTATTAAAGAGGGACTAATTTCAAAGGAGATGTTTCTGTGGTCTTCATGGGTTTAGTTTCTATGCAATGTTCTGAGCAGAACATTTTTTGGTGGCTTGCATTTGAGTAAATATTGAATTGACTAATACAGGAAATGGGAGGAGTGACACTTACTAAATACCAGTACTGTCTGCAAGGTGCTGTTCTATTATTGGCAGCGGAATGAGAGAAATATTATAGTCAAGACAGGGCTAGGCCCTCAAGGGACCCATTATAGAAGACAAGATACCTTGCAGCTGTGGGAGAGACAGGCACTTTGACTGTGGGCCAGACCTCAAGACAAAAGATTAAATATACTCCTATTTAATCCTATATCTCCTGGGGATGGACATCAGGGATTGATACTCTAGGTGATTTTCAAGGTATCAGTCACCTTGAAAAAGCCAGAAGAGTCACTAACCTAATCCCTTACAAGAAAAGCCCCTGTTCTGTATTCAGGTCCATTTGCTACATGACTCACTTCCCCATTTAATCCTGTTTAACCAATTTTACCTGAGTAATTATAGTTGTAATCTTACTGGTTGGCCAGTTTTGTTCTACCTCAGACCCCACCTTGGGAGTTCCCATGTTTTCCACCTTAGACCCACCTCATGTTTTATTCTATAAAATCCCTGGAAAAGGCAGATTCCTTGCCAAGCCACTTGGGTCACCTTCTGTCCCTCTTGGATAGCTTTCTCCCAATAAATATATTCTGCTCTTAACCTCCATTGTTCCTAAAATTCATTCTTGCTTTAGAGAATATAAACTTATCCCAGGAATCTTTCAGGTTGGGTCTTTCTTGCCCTATAACACTGTCTTCTAAGATCTTAGACATTATCCTTGTTCATTATCCTCCTTTGGTAGGTGAAATCCGAAAGCAGAAAGCATAGGATACTTCAAGTAAGCAGCAGACCTAGGGTGTGAAACTGAGTCTAGGATCTTAAACTAATGTTCTTACTCCTTTTGGTTCAAAGAAACTAGATAAAGTCCCTATAGACCTAGGGAACCTGATGTAGTCAATTGTAAAGAGAAAAAGTGTTAGCTTTTAAAACATCTCTTTTCCTGTGTCAGCTCGCCTAGGGTTTACACATGTATTGTGTCATTCACTCTTCACCAAGGATCTGCAACTTGATCCATTTCACAGATGACAGACAAAATTTAGAAGAGGTCAGTGACTGTAGGATCTGTGAAAGTCCAGTGTACACGGTCTGGTCACCGACCCACACTGCCTTCCCGGAAGGACACTGCGGAAGCCGGAGCAAGATCCTCGACCATTACCTCCATGTGAAAATCCCTTTCTGGTGTTTCTTAGGAAATGTGTATTTTTAATCCAGAATCTCTAGAAAAATCAATTGAGGAAGTGAAGTATCAGATTATCCTGTAAATACTAAAGCTTATTAATATAAAAACATTACTGTTTTGAAAAATCTACCTTCATCAAGCTAAAAACAAAGAACACAGAACACCAACATGCTGAGTTGGAGAGAGAACCAAGATAAAAGCATGTTAAGAGAAACAATCGCCATCTGTTCAGTCCTGCTTTTCATTGTTGCCACGACAGGAATGTATGCATCTGGCCCTGTCTGCTGCAGTCAATGTAGGTAATTTTATGTGCATAACATACTTTATATAGATTTATGAGTGGCATTCCAAGAAATAAACTTTGGAAGCAAAATAAATTCTTAAGTTGGCAACTTAGACACCTGGTTCATTTTATGAGCTGTACCCTTTCTAGGCTATTCAAATATTACAGTACTATTTTAATACATCCAGTAGATGATCCCTGGCATTTTCTAGTCTTTTTAAATCTCCTTTGCAGTCCTTCATAAATACTAGTTTTATCATGCCTTTTTATGAAACAAAATATTTTCAGATATCTATGATAATAAAGAAAGTCTGAGGAATAAAATATGTTAAGAATAACTTGGAGTTTGGGAATTTCTGAGGGTTCTGATTTCTTGTTCCACAACTGCAAAGGTAAAATGTTTGCTATGAATTTGGAAGCACTAGTCCAGACCACAAAGGAGGCATTCTTCAGCCCAGAGGCCCACAGGCTTTCTGAGGGGCTAGAGCTCTTCACTGTAGACCAGACCTTTGACTACAATCAAAGTCTTTCAACACCTAGCATCACTCATTTCTTTCATTCCATCGATTTCAGCCCAAAGAATAACCCACACACACCCCAGCTGCCACTGTGGTTCTATTCCAAGGAAAACTAAAGGCAGAAGCAGCAGGAGTGGCAGTTAATGCAGGTGTTTACAGGCAGCTGTTAGTAACACAACTAAGACCTGCACTGGGGAGTAACAAGCGCTGCTTCACCCCAGAATTACTAGAATTCAACTGCACTCTTGTCCTTCATCTCCTGTACAGCTGACCTGTCTGTTCCTTCAATCTGTTTCTCTCCAAACTGCCCTAAATTTAGAGGCTTAAAGTAATCATCAGTAATACATATGAAGTTACCCTCCTGACACACATGTGGAGCCAGGTGTTACTGGGACCACTGAAGGGGTACAGGCTACAGCATAGCCAGGTTGTACCACACTAGTTCACATTTCTAGGACAGTGTGCCTGGGTGTGACGTTTGTAGTGCCTGTACTTACACATTTTAATAGGGTCTATTTTCCATCTTTTCTCTGTGTTACTCAGCAACCCCCCTCCACCAACAGCCACCACCATGGGTCAGACTCAAGAGTAAAAACATTTCCAGATTTTCTGTGGCACTAAGGACAGGAATATCGCTGTATGTTGCAGGAAGTGGGAGAAGTGACAGGATAGCCAATGGACAGGGCCCAGCCATCCTCCTAAGCTTGTCCTCCAGGAAGCCACAGGAGCCAGAGCCAGTTCCTTCTGCTATCCAACAGCTGCTATGAGGAAAACAGGATTTTTCAAAGAGAAGTTTTACATTGTAAATCAGACACATTAATTATAACTTTAATATAACAAATGTTGTTAAAAGCAGCAATTCAAAACCATGATCTTTTAGAAGGTGCACAGGTTATTAAGGTCAGTTGGCAGTAATGCAGCTATTATCTGGTAACAATGAAATGCTAGAGTGGGGGGTTCAGGTGACCTTCCTAGGCCTTGTGCTGTCCTCCCAAGTGGGCTCCCCTCCCCCCTCTTCCCCTCCGGCCCAGTCTCTCTGAAGCCCAAGGAGGGAAGGTGCTGAGACAGGCCCCACCCAGGCTGGTTTCTCAGGAGTCCAAGAGAAGGCCTGTGAGCCTGCTGTGCTCCAAGGCCAGCAGGAAACCACAGACTGGATCCCAGGTTCCACACCCACGCTGCGCTGGGCACTCACCACCCAACAGCTCCCCTCCCACCTGGCCCCATCTGGGGGGCTCAGTGGCAGCAGCTGTGGGGCTAAGATCTGGGCCCAGTGCCTACTTGTCCCTGCTTGCTTGGCAGTACCAAGGAAGTGACGAGTAGCAGGCTGTGCTGAGGAGGCGAGATCCCTCTGAAAGGCACTAGAGAGCTGAGGTTTAAGGCAGAGGCCGGCTAACCTATGTCAGAGATCTCTTGGGGTGCTCACAGGCAGGCAGGGGGCAGGGCCAGGAGTGCACAAACAAGCTCTTCAGCCCTGCTGTTGCCCTCACTCTTCTCCCCTTTCGCTGTTCAGCTGGCAGTCAGCAAAACCCCACCAGGCTGGAGGCCACAGCAGCAGTTGGCAAGGCTAGTGCCAGTTTGGTACCCCTGCCCCCACTCCCATCAAGGCACTTCTTTCCATTTTCCAATCAAATGAGTCACTTCCTAACGTCTCTGCAAGCAGCTAAAATGAGGGCCCACCCCACCCCACCCCCTTCTGGTTTTCTTCCAGATGAGGCCGGATGCGGATGCCACCTGCAGCTCTGCATGCCCCACACCCTGGGTCCCAGTGTCTCTGCCACAGGGGTTTTCCCAGAGGCACCCACAAACATACGTGCACACACACGCACACATACATTCTAGGAGCAAGAGGAAGTGGCAGGAAAGGGAGGAAGAGAAGTTCCACCTTCAGCCACTCTCCCAGTGGGATTCCAGGGAGGACTGACGCCCAGGGGTGAGGTGTGAGGGATCCAGTGGAGGGACAGATGTGCACATAGAGGATGTGTAAACACACAAACCCACGAGGGGTGAGAGGTGCAGGAACTGAGTCTCAGGGACAAAAGGATTGAGCCTGAGGAGAAGTGGGTTACAGAGCCAACGGGACACGAATCCAGAGGGACAAAGAGTTTGAGGGGCGTGGAGTGTAGAGAGACACTGAGAACCAGCCAGTGGGACCTCAGACCCAGGCATGGGATGAAGGTCATGAGAAGCGAGAGTACGGCTGGTGAAGCGGCAGTGCAGGCTTTGGCCTTGGCTGGTGAGCAGGTACATGGGGCCTCTGGCCTGGCACTTGCAGCTCTGTCCTGCTTCCCTCCCCCACCCCACCTGGGGAAAGTGGCAGCCTATGGCTTCTGCTGTCCCTCCTTTGGTTTTTAGGACTCCTGGCATCCCGCCAAGGGGCACTCAGTAAGGGGTGGTCCCTTCCCATTCTACCAGGTACTGAACCTTGCCTTCTGGTGTGACTCTCCGGGCCAACACCTGGTACTTCTCCCCACAGGCCAGCCTCCCCGCTGCACCAAAGTAGTTGGTGATCGAGGACTTGAGGTGGGACAGGGACGAGTCATCTTCACTGATGCTTTCAAATGTGTGGCTGTCGATGCCTTCATCTGGCCGCTCGGGGCCAGAAGCCACCTCGGCACTGCTGTCCGAGGGGCAGCGTCCACCCAGCTCAGCTGCCCGCCTCTTGGCCCGCAGGGGCGTGTACGCTTTGGCTGCCAGCTTCCTCTTGCGGCTGCCCACTGTCCGTCTGTATCAGGCAGGGGAAGAGAAAGATGGTGGGAATGAGATGGAACAACCAGCAGCTTCCTGCCCTGACAATCTTGTAGGTTCCAGGAGCAGTGCCGGGCACTGGGCACGGGTGCATCGCACTGGGAGCTCATGATAGTCCTAGGTGGGCCACTGAGGGTCCAGGGAAGAAATGAACAGCTGGGAGTGACAGGGCCAGGACGCCACCTAGGTAGTCTGACTCTAAAGCAGGGTATCTTTCTGAGCTCGAGGACGGCACAGGTGTAGGTCTTCCTGTCCTTTTCTGTGCCTTCCACATAGTACAGTAGAGAGCCCCTGCTTAGGCTGCCCCAGCCCTCACCTGGGCTTCTGTAGAGCTAGCTGGGACAAGCAGGAACAGGGACAGGGCTTATGAGGTAAAGACTCCCATGCCACACAGGAAAAGGTATGGCAGAAATGCACGTATGTTCTCAGATGCTTAGAAATGGAAGTCAAGACCTGAATGAAGCTTTAGTGAGAACCAAAGAAACAGAAAGACACTAAAATACAGGGCTGGGGGTGTAGCTCAGTAGTAGGGTGCTTGCCTTGCATGCACGAGACCCTGGGTTCAGCCTGTAACAGTGAAAAACAAAACAAAATTATAGACAAGGACACCTAGACAGAGATGTCTAGGCAAAAGGTGAAGTCCTCCAGCTGAGACTCGGACAGTGGGGGCATGGGCTAGTAGTGGCAGTGCCCCAGGAATCTCACCTGGAGTCATAGGAAAGGCTGGTAGAAGCGGAGCCGGAGGTACTGGCGGCATCAGTGAAGTCCACATCTGAGAAGAAGGTCTGGCCTGAGCTGGCACTGATGGGGGAGAGAGTGAGCCTAACATTAGCCAGACCCAGCAAGGTCCTGCCATCTTGGCTCTTGGGGTCCCCTGGGATTTCAGGCCTGTTCTGTCCCTCTGCTATGTACCCTTCATCCTAGCAGAGGCCACCTGCCCACTGTTGAGCTGCCCACCAGCACACTTGCCTGTCCGTGTTCTACTCGCCCCACCTTCAAAGTCTAGGAGCTAAGAAAGCCTTCCCTGCCCACTCTCCCCGGTGGTATGGCACTCTAGCGACAATATCTGATGAGCCACAAGACACTTATGCTTCCATTGTAGATGAAGAGCTTCCATTTGTACTCATTTGGAGAGAACATGAGGAGCTTGAGAGAGGTCAAGGAACCTAGCTAAAGCACTTATGCTGGTGAGCAGGGTTTGGAGCACAGGTCTCTCTGAATCTAAATTTCTCACTCCTTCCTCCATAATCTCCAGAGCAATGAATCTAAATTTCTCTAAATCTAAATTTCTCACTCCTTCCTCCATAATCTCCAGAGCAATGAATAACCTTCAGTGACATTGGAATGAGAGGATAAAGGTATAGTTCCCTCCTCTGGGTGCTGTGGGCAGACACAGGAAGGTGTCCAGCACTGCCTGGGGGGGGGGGCAGCAAAGGCCTCCTGGAGGAAGCAGGCTCCAGAGTTTCCAGAAGCGGGACAGCAGGACAGAATGCATTTCAGATAAAGGGACAGGTGTAAAGAGGAGGGGCATCAAACTGCATCGTAAGGGTGGGACCACCAAGCGATTTGGGTCTCCTGTGTGAGGTGACAAGTGCTACAGGAGGGAGGGGGCCATCACCCAGCCACCTTGGCTGCTGCTCTGGGGAGCAGGAAAGTGCTAGTGTTAAAAGAGCCTCCTGTGGGCCCATGCAATGTGGACCCCGAAGGAGGCCCCACTCTTTCAGAATGGGAGAAATCAATGATTTTTCCCTTGTCCCCCTCCAAAGCCCTGCCCACGCTGGGGTGTGTGGGGAGCCTCCACCGTCAGTTCCTTTCTAGTCTCCACAGCAGCCTTTTCTGCCGGGCCCCTCAGATACCTCTTTAAACTCTGAATTTCATCCAGCGTGAAGTCGAATATGCTGGCCAGGTGGTGGTTGGTGCTCCAGGCCGAGGTGAAGTCACTCTGCGGACACAGGAAGGAGAAGGCTGTGTCAGCACGTGTCGAATCTGCCTCCCCACATACCCTCTCCCCAGCTGAGGGCCACACAAGCTGTCCACTGTCCGCCAGGGCTGCTAGGGTGAAGACCCGCCAATTCCTTCTATTCCTTGTCCTGACCAAAGAGCCAAGTCACCTAGTTCTAGTCCTGGTCTTGTCTCCAGCCCTTGGAGATCTCTCTGGGCCTCAGTCACCCCGGTATAAGATGGGGGCAACCCCTTCCCTGTTTCATTCTTAAGAGGTTTCAGGAAGCATAATGAAGTTAAATAAATATGATTGGAAAAGTGCCTTGTAAACTGTAAAGTGCTGGGAGATGAGGCATGGTTAATACTACTGTTCACGTTCACCAGGAGGGGTTAATTAGGGATGCAGAAGACAAGCCCTAGGCTTCTGGTTCTAGGCTGGGTTTGGACACTACCTTGATGGGCAACCCACGGGAATGTCACTGCGCCACCCTGCCCAGAGTTTCCCCACCTGCTCAGGCGGGGGCAAGGAGTCCCTGGGTTCTCAAAGAGATCTCGGGAAGGTAAGGGAATGGTCTCCGGAGAGCTCTGCTTTTCTCTGTCACTGTGATGGGGAGTTTGGACTGTCCCCTGAGCCTGGGGGACTTTGCTTTCTGTGTGTGCTGGCCCTGCGTGTGAAAGTGAAAAGGAAACAAGGAACTAACACTGGGAATAGCATCTTCCAGCAAAAACTTTGATCTTTTTCTTCTATAAACTCGCCTTTTCTGCTGCTGGAATTCGTGAGGCAACAAACTGTGGAGACAGAAAAGGGAGAGGATGGCCCAGTCAGAGCCTGAGGGCCAGAGGATGGCCCAGAGGGAGGAGCCTCACCAGTGGTGGGAACGGGGCCTGTGAGGAGGACACATCCTCTGGGGAGGGAGGGATGGGGGGCCTGTTGTTCAGCAGAGAGAGAAAAGGTCATGTGTGTCTACAGGCCCTGCACCAACACCCAGGAGGCTGCGGCAGGCTCAGCCAGGAGGGCAGGGGTGCCTTAATGCACTCCGGTGCCCCCTTCTCTTTGTCCAGCCAGAATGCAGCAGGCAGGGTCCCTGATCTGGCTTCCCCTGAATGAGGCAGAGGGTAATGGCAGAAGGAGCCTGGAAGCCACTAACTTGCCCTCTCCAGGTGCCTGCAGCTGGCTATAGGGACTCTCAGCTACATGGATGCCACCAGACTGGGTGGGCCCACTGCATGGCCCATCTGTTGGGTGTAGGCGCTGGGAGCAGAGAACCCGAGTCTGGCCGCAGCCCCAGCCCTGGGTCCCCAAGCACTGACCCAGGCTTGCTCTTTCCTCTCTTACGCAGCTCAGAGGAGGTGGCACCATTCTCCCTTGGTGCCAGGCCCTTGTCAGGTAGCAGCTTCCCCGGTGGGTTCGGTGGGACCCGGATGCGAAGGCGGAAAATGCACTTTTTCTTCTTGATCTCCTTGCCGCAGAGAAACCTGGGGGTGGACAGGGAGGGAATGTCCTGGAGTCAGTCAGTCCATCCTCAGGGGGAGCTAGTGTTACACAAGCCTCTGGGGCTCTCCTGGCTCCTGACATAATCCAGAGTGGCCTCAGAGGATGCGAATTCCTCCAAGTCCACCAAGTGATGGGTCCCAGCTGAGAATGTGGCAGATGAGGGTAAATGCCCCCTCCAACAGGTGTGCAGCTCCTGCTGCTCCTCTCCTCTCTTTTCTTCTCCCCTTCAACCAGCTCCAAGGCTGCCTCTTACAGGAAAGTGTCAGTTCACAGTGGAACTCTTAGGGTCCCAATACCCCCATCTCATTCTCCCTCAAAACTGAAGAGACCCTGCTAGGCTCCTCCTCCTTTAACACTGGCCGAGCAGCCTTGAGGCTACAGCGATGGCTCAGGTCCAGGCCTGCCCTCAGCGGTCTGTCCCCTGGGAGACCAGAGGCTGCTCACTGAAGGGTGGGCTGTGCTGGATGCAAAGCAGGAGAATTAAGAGTGTGTCGTTCTGCCAGAGGTAGAGGAGAGCTGGCACGGGAACAGATTTACCACAGCAGCTCAATAAGTTCTCATTGATAAAATGGATGAATAAATGGGACAGCAGAACACCCCAGGCAGAGAGCAGAGCCCCCGCAAGGACACTGGGCGAGGGAGCCAAAGGCACAGTGGCTGCATCCGGAGTCAGTGTGATGCCAGATGTCCCCCAGTCTCATGCAGTCCTAGGCGGGGCTTTCTCAGAGGAGGCTGAATCTAGATTGTGTGACTGGTTCACGGTGCAATGCTAGGATTAAGGTGGGTGATTTCTACGTCATTCCACTGATTGGTTTGGCACCGCCCTAATCCCAGCAGCCTGGATACAATATAAGCAACAGAAAGAGCATGTCTTGCCCCTTCCCTGTTGCTTTGGCTCTCTTTGCCTACAATTAATTACTTCTCCTCTGTAATCCCCCTTTGCTAAGCCACTCTGCCTTGGAGCCAGGGGATTATGGACAGAAACCTCTACAAACTGTGAGCTAAATAAACCTTTCCCTCTTTAACTTCGAGTGCCAGGTATTTTGTCTCAACAATGAGAGAAAAGTAACCAAGGCAACAAAGCAAAGGGACAATGACAGAAGACAAGTAGGCAGGGCCTGATCATAAAAGACCATCAATACCTGCTTAGGAGTCGAGGCACTTCCTGCGGTGGTGGGGGATGTAGCAGGCTCTGGGTTCCGAGAGCCCAAGGGGAGGACACAGGCAGGGGGATGGGTCAGGAGGTTGCAGCGCACCTGAGAGACGGTTATCTAACCACTCAGTGCCTGGCCCAGGACCCTAGCTGGCTTCAGCAGGAGGGTCTCTCAGAGAGCAGGAGGCCTCCCCTATGGAGCTGAGCCCAGTACCCAGGTGAATTAGGGTGCTAGGGTGCCTGGCAAAGGAAGAGCCCTGATGCCCGTTGTCCCCTGGACTCTAAAGCATGGGAAGGAATGATTCAGTCAAAGAGAAGGGGAGAGGGGCTGGTGAGATGGCTCAGTGGTCTAAAGCACCTACTTAGAACAAGCTTAGCAAAGCACAGGGACCATGGTTCAATTCCCCAGCACCACATGCCAGCCAGCCCCGCCCCCTGGTGGGCTGAGCTGGCCACACACACACAAAAATAAATAAATTAAATTAAATTAAATTAAATTCTCAAGTTTTTAAAAAAAAAAAAAAGAAGGGGAGAGAAACAGGCAGAAAGACAGGTCAGGCAAAGGGTATGAGCAGGGGAAGCCTTCAGACTACAGTCCCTCCAGTCGCGGCTGAGGCATTCCCTTTGTCCCTGCACGCACCGGCTTTTGTAGCTGTTGAGAGCGTTGAGGAGATGTGGTCCTCGATCTGTTACAGGAGTGCTGGTGAGCTAGGGGAGAAGAGGCCAGCAGGACAGTGAGACCCCGCCTGTGCATTCTGCAGGGCCCTGCTGTTCCCTTCTCCTGCCCCTCCTGAGTCCTGAAATGTCATGTTCCCATCTGTATGTGGAGAGACAAACTTCTGGCCTAAACTTTTCAAGAGCTTCATACTCTCCACCAGGAATGGTTGTCCATTCCCAGAGGTCTACACCCCTGGGGAGGCTTAAGATTGGAGGTTTGTGAGATCAAGTCCTAGTTGAGCAGCTTAGTGAAACCCTGTCTCAAAAGAAAGAAAAAAAAGAAAAACCAAGGCCTGGCACTGTAGCTTAATGGTAGATTGCTCCTGGGCTTGATCTCTGTGACAATGAAAATATAAACAATAATATGGAACACAACAAAAACTTTAGTAACAAAAGCTTTGCAAAAGTGTTTACAGTGCTGGACAACAAGAGTGGGGAAAAACTATGCTCAACAGTAAGGAAATGATTTAAAATTATTTTACTATAGCATCTAAACCCTTTAAACTGAAAAAAATATATATATAGAAGAGACTGGAAGGAAATGTATTTGTGAAATATTTCTAGTTACTTCTAGGTAGCATGACATAAGAATATGGATTTTAGCTTCACTTCCTAATTATTTTTGCCAATTTCTTTTTCTTTCATTTTATATATTTGGTATAGGGTCTCACTACACAGCTTGAACTCATAGTGATCCTCCTATCTCATCCTCCCCAGTGCTGGGATTACAGGTGTGCATCAGCATACGGTACTGGGGTTTGAACTTCGGTCCTTACACTTGCCAGGCAGGAGCTTAGACCACTGAGCTATCTCCCCAGTCCAGAGCAAAATATTTTTAATAATGCTAACTGTTTTTTAAAGCTTATTACAGGTATGATTCATAAATGACCAAATGCTCTAAGTGAAAATGTTACATAAAACTCAAAGCAAAGCCATAAAGGGTACTTTTTCTTTTATCCTTTGTCTCATCAGAGTAGAGTTTGGGACAGTCAGTGGAGAAGATGCCTGGCTCTGCAACAGCAGAGACCATGCTGAAGGCATCAGGAGGGCTCAAAGGGTGCCACCCCCATGGCAGAAGCGATCATGAAGGTCATGGCTCCTGCTCTAGCTTGGCCCTCGCCTAGCAGCTGACTACCTCTGCTGAGCTCTGACATTCTCTAAATCTCTGTTACCTCACTGCATGGATCTGTGCTGTGGCCCAGTCCTCTGGAGACCACTATTCAGAACAGGATCAGCAGGGGGCAGGCACACTCCACTTTCCATCCTAGCCATGAACTCTGGAGAGCTCCAAAAGATTCAGCAGAAAGCCCACTCTGCCCAGACTGGACCCATGATCCTAGATCCCAGAGACCAAGCTGGTGAGGCAACAACTGCCAACTTTCAAAATTTGAGTTGGAGGCAAGGACTCGGCACAGCAGCTCGGGACACACCGAGGCCCTAGCATGCATTGTGAGCCCACTTGAACATCCCTGACTTCTGCCACTCACACTGGCCACCCTGCATACCTTGCCAAGCTGCAGGAGCTCCCAGTGGTGGTTCACAAAGGCCAGAATCTCCTCAAAGTCAAAGTACTTCTTCTTGCTCTGCACCCCCAGGTTGTAGAGGGCCAGGTGAACCACATCCACCCTAGGCAACAGGGCAAGGAGATGGGCCAGGTGAGGAGCAGGGACAAGCTGGAGGGAAGAGGGACAGGCAGGCTGGGAAAGCACAGCATGAGCTGGAGCCGAGCCCCACCCTCTCACCATCGCAGGGGCAGCCTCTCGATGTACTCTGGGCCCTGGTTACACACGGAGCAAAAGAAAAGGTAGAACCTGTGGGAGGCAAAGGGGCCTCTGGTGGGAAGGGCTCTGACACACCCACCGCCCAGGCCAGCCCCCTCACTTCCCACCTGTCTTCCCACAGCATTTCACTGCTGGGGCTGGTGGCCTCTCAGGGATGGGCATGGGTGAGGACAGGGCAGGACAAAGAACAAAGAATATGCCCCTACTCTCAACCCCCTTTCCCCCAGATACAGCCCTGGGGTTCACAGGCTGAATTCACAAGCTGAGCTAGGTTGTGCTGTAGTAGTCACCGTCTTCCCTTGGAGACATACACACACAATCACAGCATGAGACTCCAACCCAAAACACGGAATATCTGGTTTGACATATAGAACATCTCCCAGGAGCACAATTCTATTAGACAGAAATCATCCACTTCCCCAATGGCTCCTACAACTCTGGGCAGAGCTGGGGCAGGGACTGTGATGTCAGCCTTTCTTCCCCAGACCATTAAAGAGACCGTGGCTTAGGGAAGGGTAGGATTTGCCTAAGGTATGCCACAAGTCAATGGCAATTAGGAATGCAGCCAAGCACATCCTTTATCGGAGAGCTGGGGCCTTATTCACCCTGAGCTGCTCCCTGTACACGGCTATAGGTTACCATAACTGCCGTCCACCTTGTGTGGAGCCTGGCAGGCCATCTGCAGGCATTTGCTGCTCCATCCCTCCTGTCCCATCACCACCTGACTCTCATAGCCCAGCTAGACCAAAGGAGCACCTACCGATCTCCAAACATCATAGGCTCATTGAGGCACTGTGTGCAGGCCTCGTGGAACCACTGCCTACACCGGTAACATTGCAGCATCCGCAGGTACCATCTGGAGACAGAAGAACCAGGTCAGCCAGGCATGAGGCTCAGCAAGCATTCTCAACCAGACTTAACCTCTACCAGACAGACAAGAGAACTGCCAGTTTTCAAGTGCTTTTAGTCTATTCCAGGGCACGTCCTGGGAGCCAGACTCATACTACTCCATTGGATCTTACCATCTGTGAAAGGTAAGCCACCGTCCCCAAAGTATAGATGAGTCAGAGGTTAAAATGGCTCGCTCAGGGTCACTCACAAAGCAGGTGGAGGATGGCAATTTAAATCCCAGTCTCCCCAACTTCAAAGCCCATGCTCATCCCAGTGTCCCCAGCTTCAAAGCCCATGCTCTTCCTGCCATGACATGCTGGAGCTCAAGCTTTTGGACTGTTTCCCCCTCCCCCACCCACACACAGTTTCTCGAACATCACTGACAAGGACAGGTTTGCCTGAGAGACTTAGTGGAAGAATGATGTGTCCTGTACGCCACCGGGGGCAGGCCTACCTCTGCTTTTACTCATCCACTACTGTTATCTGCCCTTTTATGGCCATTCAACAACTAGTCAGTGACTATGAGCCAGGTATTCCATTAACAACAGTTAATGCTATTTTTACCCTTTGTCGGGTGTGGTACAGATTAACATTGCAGGTTCCTTGGTCCCCTTCAGAATGACTGGACCTTTGGGGGGAAGCCTCCAGGAGATGCATTTCTAACCTCAGCCATTAAACAGGGAGAAGCACTGCCTCAGTGCTATAAAGGTGTCGCTAAGCACTATCCAGCTGTTATCCATCAGGCCTCCCAACACTCTGGGAAGCTCATGGGCAATTAAGGTAAGAAGTCCATGAAGTAGTTTAAGTGATTTTTCTGAGTTGCCTAGCTGAGCTGAGCTGAGCTTTCAAACCTTCAGGGTTTTTATTTTTTTAAGTGTATTTAGTACATGGTCTACAGGGTCTCACTACAGATTGGACTCATAGTGACCTTCCTGTTTTTAGCCTCCCAAGTGCTCAATCATCTCAGCACCCCTGGGATGAAGCCAGCAGGACACTAGGCCTTCAGTTCTTGTGACAGGAACTGTAGTGAGATGCTGGACTTAGAGGGGCCAAAGGCTGTTTTCTTGAGGGCAAAGCCCCCATCTGTAGGTCTTTAAGTCTGCAGGTCCTTTCACAATGTCTGGTGCAGTCAGCCAAGACCCAGGTGAACCAAGAATGTTGATCAAACTCTGGCCCCCCAGCAGAGCAGGAATTCCCTCCACAGAACCCCAGCATAGGCCTGCTGGCTCTTAGCTAGGGAAAAGGTGCTTCCCCATTTAATTGGCTCTTACAGTGAAGACCATCTTAACCCCCACACTACAGCAGCATCACCGCCAACAGCTCATGTTTTCTAAGTGATTATCAAGTACCAGGCACTGTGTGAGCCTTTGTATGGCTCACAACAAGCACATGAGGTGAAAATAGTAGGACAACTCAGACTCCTAGGTCACACGGAGCCCATAAGAAGAGGTTGGGCTCTGGACATCTTGGGAGGATCTGGACCCAGTGTGAGGCCTGGGCACTTCATTACTCTTCAGTACTTCCTTCCTTCCGATGGGGTTCCAAAATAATACCTCTGCGCCCTCTGTGGACCCGCTACAGGGAAAGTGCTGGACGCCGCAAGGAGCCCCATTCTTGGCCTTAATCTTCAGGTTCTCACTTCGGCTCCTGCCAGCCAGAGCTTTACCTCAGATCACACCTCTCCAAGATCCTTTGGTGACTTTTCTGGCTTGCCCTGGTGGTAGGATGCTCCCCAAGCTGATCTGCCTTTCTAGGGACCCTCCTACAAACCATCTGGTGGGTCCCACCCTCAGTGGCCCCACCCCCTTGCTGACAGCACAGCCTGCCCTCCCACCCTCGCAGCTTACTCTCCAGGCCCACCACAGTAGCAGTAGCATTGCTGTTGGTTGGTGCGGTGGGGTGAGTCCCAGTCAAGCTCCTCAGGCTGGTAGGACAACACCATCTTCACGGCCTGCAGGGTCCTGGCGATGGCTCCCTTCTTCAGCGCGCCACCTTTCTGGGGGGAGACGAGAGCCCAAGTCACCTGCTGGTTCTGGTTGGGCCACATAAGTCAGCACACAGCTACTAAAGAGAGTGCTGTCCAGGATGGGCAAACGCAGGTATCCCAGGGGAGTCAGGAACAAAAGGAGCTTCTCAATTCCTCTTGTCCCAGAAGGATCTCCATTAATAATAGTATTGACAGTAATAGGCATGCATAATACAAGGGACCACTACGAACACAATGAATGTGGGCATTATGGGACTTTAAATAGTAAACACCATTAACAAGGAGCCTCCTACTACTGACACCATAACTATGTCCATTTACAGCTGAGGAAACTAAGGTTTGGGGAAGCTCCAGAACTTAACCAAGCACATACTGTTGGTCAGAGGCTGAGACATCTCCTGTCTGAAAAGCCTCATTGGGGGTCTTCTGCTTGGAGCTTCTTGTTTGTGATTGGCCATTAGGCCTGAGCCCAAGGGCCTCTGGGCTCCCCACAGGAAGAGGCAGGAAAGGACAGAAGACTCACCCGCACAGCCAGTGCGAAGATGCAGCGTCGGCAGAACCAGGGTGTGAGCAGGGGCCGGTCAGCACTACCCGCTATGGGGATGTGGCACTGCTGGTGGTAACCTATGGCAGAGGAGGGGGTAGCGAATGCCTGTGAGGAAGCCACTGGCCCAAAGGCAACAAGGCTAGTAGGAGGGCTGAGGCAAGCCCTGGGAGGAGGGAGCACTGGCTGCCAGCTGCCAGGGGACTGGCTGTGATGCCCACTTAGCCAAGTTGGTATCTACCCTGGGAACTACAACCACCGGCCAAGGTCTGGCTTTAGCACCTGTACCCCTTCTTTCTTTCCCACCCATGCTGTCCACCTGGGAAGGCCCCAAGCTGCAAACCCCAATGTACTTTCTCAGGTCACCTCCCTGGGTCCTCATTCACAGACTGGCTCCCTTGTACCCTGGGGCTCTGGGAGAAACAGGAAGCCAGCTGAAACCATAGCCACGTCGGGCAGTGCCCATCAGAGGCCAATGCAGCAGGGGCCCACAGGCTGGGCCCTTTCAGGGCCCTGCCCACCCACTCACCCAAGCCACATTTCCCACAGATGAGGATCTCATTCAGCGGCCCAGACGTCTTCCCCAGGCAGATGCTACACTTGGGCTCTTCCCCTGGAACGCCAGCTGAAAAACAGGCTTCCTGGCTCAGGTCCGGCTCACAGGAAAGAGAAGACTTAGAAGCAGTGGAGGGGCTGAGCTTCTACTCCACATCGGGCCGCAGAGCCCACTGCATAAATCTTAAAGCCCACTCATAAGAGGCCAGTTATAACTGCCCCATCTAAAGATGGGGAAACTGAGGCTCAAGGGAGCTAAGTCCCTTGCCTAGCTAGGAGAATTGGGGTTCAAACCCATGGCTATCTGGCCTCAAGCCCTTTGTTCTTCTGACCACATTGTGCAGCCCCTCCTGCATACTTTAACTTGTTTTGTTAAACATTTTTATGTTAGCCTTTATTATGGGATAATAATAATATGTTATAATGGTACTCTGTGGTCTCACAGTTATACTCCTGGCTAATCTTGTTTTGACTAGAGTCCAACCCACTTTTCCTTCTTGTCATTATTTTAAATGAAGATATAGATCTCAATCGTTTTCCCATAAATACTTAGGCTATATCTGTGAAAGATCAGAACTCAGCCTTTACTGCCTCTAAGTATCAAAATGTCAGTTAGTGGTCACAGTTCTGTCCCTCAAAAATATCATAATTTTGGTTTTTAAAAATCAAGATATAAATGAAACCCACATTTGATGATCAGTTGATACACTTTTAGGATTGCTTTTTATCTCTTTTTCTTTTCTTTTCTTTTTTTTTTTTTGTTGTTGTTAAAAAATAAACATTTTTATGTCTGTAAGAGAAGTAGGGGGTGGGAACATAGTTCAGCACCATAAGCACCTGCCTGGAAAGCTCAAGGTCCTGAGTTTGATTCTCAGTACCGAGAGAGGAGAGAGGAGAGATGGGAGAGGGGAGAGGGGAGAGGGGAGAGGGGAGAGAGAAGAGAGGAGAGAGGACGTGGTATAAATACATTTCAATGTGCACTTCATCCTATTTCCTATGCAGACTGAAAGTTTTGTAAAGGCAAACACACTCTCACATTATCTCTGTATCCCTGGACCTCATCTGGAATATGGCCTGGAATCGGTGTTCAAGACATGTTTATGGAATAATGCACCAAACAAGGACCTTTGCACCTCTTCCTGAATGTGAGCCTGGCAAGTGGTGCCACTTTGGTCTCAGTTAAGTTCTCAATAGCTTACTGAAACAATGGTGAGAGCTCCAGGGTACCCAATCTGTGCTCTCATCTTAGGAGAGGGCCACCGTGGTAACCAGGAGGAGCAGGCGCCCAGCTGGGGACACAGCTGTTCCTGGGCTGAACATTAACTCTAGTCTCTCCATAGTGCCTAGTGGGCCTTCTACAGAAGCCCTGCTAAGGTGAACTGTGTTTCTTCTCCATCTGGGTCCTTAGGCTGTGTTCAGTAAAGACATGTAGGAGAGAAGATTTTCACAGATTGGGATTTGTATATTACAGATTTAGGGTCGGGGCGGAGAGAAGGAATTAGTCTCTGTTGACTACAAGTTCCTGGAGGTGGCACTACCAAACAACTCTGTTCTGAGGTCTCCAGCTGGCAGATTTCTTGGAATCTTTTACTGTAACACGTTCTTTAAAAACTGCTTTCCTGTAACTCAGGAGCACAGAGCTGTGTATGTCACATGGATTATTTAATCCTCCTAATCACCCTATAAAGCCAGGACCTTCATTACCTTCTTTCAAAGAAATTGAAACTCAGATAATGTTACTTGCCCAAGGCTCTACAGCTAGTAATAGGCAAAGCTAGAACTCAGTCCAAGGCCTATCTGACACTAAAACCTGCCTCTTCCTCCCAAGGGGCTGCATCTGTTCTCCAGTGAGGATAAATGGCAAACAGGTTTCTTTTCTTAAGCCAACTCCGGTAGTAGTTGCTTGGAGCTCTGTTAAAAAAATGAGTGTCAGGGCTGACTGTTGACATCTGTCATGTGCGTGGGAGAAAGAACGGCAGCAAAAATGCCACAAATTTGTGATCTCTGCAAGACAACATCAGCTCTCTGGCCAGGATGGTAACCAGTCCAGCTCCCTCTCCATCCTGAAAGCAGGTTGAGGCCTACCCAGGCACGTTCACCGTCAATGCTGCCTGACTGATTAGTTTTCTCGGTCTTTCTCCAGCTTTTACTCCAGGAATAGAGCTGCTTACTAGCTTTCTTCACATGCTGGTGGGGGCGCTGCTCAACTCTGATTGCCAGCTGTCCTCATTCTTAGCCACTACAGACTGAGACTTGGAGCAGCAAGAGACAAAGTGCAGCAAAGAAACACAGGCCTGAGACCCAGCCCCAGCGCTCTCTGCAGTTCCCTGAGCCATCTGCCCTGCCTCCCTCATTAGCCCTGAGCCCTAAGGGAGAGGACAGCTGTCACATGTCTGGCAATCTGATTGATCATCGTGAGGGTGAGGTTCATGGACCAGACCAGGACAGATGCCAGGAATAATAGATGGAAGGAGAAAAGGAAACACTGAAGGTAGTGGAAGAGAGAGACCGGGGAAGGTAGGAGTATCCTCAGTGTCAGGAGTACTCACCATGCTGTATGTCCTTCCATAGAACCCAGTATTTTGAGTTATCTTCAAAAGTCACAAGGCAGCTTTGCTTAGAACTGCTGACCTGGAGTGTGGCGAGAACAGTGTGAGAGAGTGGCTGCTAGAGCCCAGCTAGAGTGTGTTCGTCCTCCCCTCTTGTGTTGTGCTTCAGAAAGCAGGGCTAAGCTGGAGGGGGAAGAAGTTAACAGCTTTGTGCTCCTAACTCTGGAGCTGACAGCCAGGGCTGGCAGGCGACTTGGCCATGCCAAAGGCAGACAAACAGGCCACGTGGTCACCTGTGCTCCTCTCCAGCCTGGTTCTGTTTGCTCTGTGGGTTCTCAGAGCACTCTTCTAAAAAGCTGACTGGACAGTGTTGGCCCTCAGGATGGTCCTGGAAAAACCAGGTTCTGGCTCCTCCCACCTTCAATTCTGGTTATGAGGGACATAAGGAGAACTCCCCAGGAATCCCCCATCACTAGGTGAGATGAACAGAGAGATGCCGAGCCTGGGATGAAGGACCAGAAAGGGAAGTCTTACCCTCTTGATCTTCCCAAGGTAATACAGTCCATCTGTCCACCGGCACAGCACATACTGGCCCTCCGTCAGCTTGGACATCAGGTCTTTGAAGTTGTTCTTGGCTTTAGCCAAGGCCCCCTTGTTGGGGAGGTGGCTGGTGGCACCATAGCAGTCGCGAGTCCCTGAATCCAGAGCTCGGTTCTCCATCAGCTTCCGCTGACACTTGAAGAGAAAAAGAACAGGGATTTTACTTCTTGCCTCCCTGCTCCTGAAAGTCCATCAGGGAAAGGAAAAAAAAAAAAAAAAAAAACCTACTATCCCTACTATTACTATCATCAGCGCTGTGTGCCAGACACATTTATTATTTCACTGAATCTTCATGACAACCCCACAGGAGGAAGACATTAGTATTCCCATTTTGCAGATGGGAAAACAGCTATGGCAAGGAGAAGTGACAGATGGCAGACAGAGGCCTGACTCATAATCAGGTGAGCTGACTCTAAGTCCTGCTCTCTCACTTCTAGAACCTGCCACTTCTAAGGAGAATGAGTCTGTGAACCAACAAAACAGGGATCCCTATCCAGGACCCTTGAACTGTAACCTTGCCCCAGTAGGTTGAGGTTTCCTCTCTTCTTAAGCAGATGCACCCACCCTTACTCTGAGATCCAGCCCTAAGAGGGAAAACACCTGAGACGCTTGCGAACTAGCGTAGACTTGGCCACCTGCATCTTTTGTAACCACCTTCTGTGTTCTCAGTTAGGGGATCATTTCATGGATACCAGTTCTGGGGTATTTAACCTGCTCATCCTGTTACCCAAATACGCATTTGCTCCAAGCAATACTGCCAGCCCCATTAGCCTCCCCATGCCTGGCTCTCCCCATCCTATTAGATGTGCTGCTGCACTTTGCCTTCTCTCCCGGGCAAGACTGCTACCATCATCCTCAGGAGCCCTAGCACACTGCTCGCCCCCCACTTCTCCAACCAGTAAGCTGTCACAGCTGGCCAGCCTCCAGCACAATGACCCCTGCTCTGTGTCTTCTTTTCCATCCCCCTGCCCTGGTTCGGGCTCAGCCCTTTTGGCTTGGGCCATTCATTCATCCACCCCTTAAGTACTTTTTCTCTGAGCCTGTGCTAGGCCCGTGGGCTTTGGAATTTTACCACCACATCCCAGGCCAGTCCTGCTTTCCTGCCTCTCTTCCAGACGCTCCCAGAAACCATATGGGCTTCCTTAATGTCAGTGTTCCCTCCTCCTGTCTGGGCTCAGCTGGCTCCAGGCACACCGGCTTGCCGCACCCCCCTCCCCCGCTCCCTCACCCCCCTATTCACTGTAGCCAAACAGCCTTGATTGGTTCCCTACATCTCTTTGGTCTCCTCCCTCTCTGAGGCATTGGGCACCTGCTGTCACGACTATCTGTCCATTGGGAAAGTTCTGTCCATGTCTGCACAGAAGTTTGTGTGTGTGCACTCCTAATAAGATTGTGTCAATGGATGCCTATAGCAGCGTATGTGTAAATGAATATGTGAAACTAAATACATAGGTGTGCGTATAAGGGGCCCTGGGGTGGGCAAGGCACTGCTGAAGTCTTTGCTTCCCGGAGAAGGGTGGCCATGTGTCTCCCGACCCAGTTCCTCTCTTCTTCAGGGCAGAGAGCACCAGAACTGGGCAGGGCATGCAATGGGAAGTCCTGTCTTCTGCCACCTGGCACCCGGGGGCTCTACAGGGGCCTGGCTGCAGCAGGTTCACAAACTGACACTTCCTCTCCCACTGCGCCTTTGGGAGCCAGCCCGGTCGCCGCACCCCACTTGACTGAGCGGGGGCCTCCGTGGCGGCCCCCACCCCCGCCCCATCATCCCGGAGAGGCCCCCGCGGGCCGTGATTGGCTGATTCAAACACATCTGCAAAGAAATGCCTTTTTGCGGGTTCCCGTCGGCGTCCAGTTCAAATCCGCGGCGCCCCGCGCGCGGGGCGCGGGACCGGGCGGGGGCAGGAAGCGAGGGTGATTCATGCGCCAGGGCCTCTCCCAAGGCGGCCGTTGGCTTTTAAAAAAAGTGTTCAGGAGGGGGAAAAAAGCTTGCAGAAGTGCCCCCTTGGGGTCTAGCGCTCCGCTCCTCTGTCGCCCGGACGCCCAACCGCCCCCGTCCCGAGCAGCCGCAGCCCAACTTCGGACGTGAGCAAAATCTCAAACGCCCTGCCCGTCCTCCCTCTCAGCCGCTGCACGGGGAAAAGAAGGGCTGTGGGCAGGGAAGCGCGACCTGTCACCCACGCGCCCCCGGGTGGGGAGCCCCGATGGGGTTCCCGCTGCCCCGGAGGCACGGATCGCCCGGTCCCCGAGACGCACGGCCCCCGGGACTGCAGCGTCCCTCGGCGCTCGTCCCGCCTAAGTTCCGCCGCTGCGGAGGGAGGCGCGTGCGGGCGAAGAGGAGCGTGCGGGCGAGGCGGCGCTGTCCCGGCCGGCGGCGCCCGCTGCGCCGAGCTCCTTACCGCGAGGCTGCGCGTCCGCGGGTCCCCCTTGGCGTGCGGCCACCAGGCACATCGGCGGCGG